GTCAAATAGCGATGACATGGATGCACACACCTAATAGAGATAGCTCTTACTTTTTCCTTGGAAATGCACGCTTCAAACAGAACGGTCAGTGAAGACGAAGAAGAGAATGACATGTTCTCCCGGCACCTATTTATACTAATAGTCGCACCGGTAGTAATGTCATGGGCTGTCGCCGGCCAACGTGTTGTTGGTGTTTTTTCAATGTATGCTTCAGACACGGGTCACGGCGAGGCGTTCCCCATAGCGACCCCTAGAGGACGCAGTTCGAAGTTCCCTTGAAAGGGAGCATTGGTTTCACAATTCCTGCCTGGCTTCACCTGTCCCCGATGAACAATCTCCATGGCACTGTGTCTTGTGTGCAAGAATAGGACATTAACCCTAGAAAAGGCATAGGCAATGTAATTTATATCCCAATGTTTACATTTTTAGAATTGCACTATTTGGGGTTTTATAACTACATGTGTATTTTGTGTATGATTCTTTTTGCAATATTTTCTATTTTATTACTGACTGTCTCTTTTAAATACTGTTCCTCTTGAAAATCATTAAAAAAAGTGGATATAATTGGGTTGAATATTGTGTACTTATATATCAAAAGTGTACTCATAATAAGTCTTGTGCAACATGCAGAATAGTATTCTTAGAAATCTACAGTTGGTTAGATATCTGTAGCTCAAACGGTGTTTAATTTTAATGGATTTTTGAGAGTTTTATATACATATATATAGTTATACATTTATATATATACATACACACACATATATATATATACAGGTGCATCTCAATAAATTAGAATGTCGTGGAAAAGATCATTTATTTCAGTAATTCAACTCAAATTGTGAAACTTGTGTATTAAATAAATTCAATGCACACAGACTGAAGTAGTTTAAGTCTTTGGTTCTTTTAATTGTGATGATTTTGGCTCACATTTATCAAAAACCCACCAATTCACTATCTCAACAAATTAGAATATGGTGACATGCCAATCAGCTAATCAACTCAAAACACCTGCAAATATATATATATATATGTGTGTGTGTGTGTTATGGAAGGAGACTCACACAGAAGGTTATAAACGACAGAGGATTTTTATTTATGGCAACAGAGGCTGGGTGTAGAAAGGCAGGTGCGTAAGCAGTTCAATGGAATAGTTCAATGTGCGCTGTGATTGGGTGGTGAGTGAACCTGGCCGATCCGTGACAATATGTGTGTGTGTTTGTGCTTGTGTATGAGGGGCCGTACAAGTGCATATGTATGTATATACATATATGCATTTATGTACACTGGTAAAAATTATGTGTTGGATTTACTTAAAATATATATGCACCATTTTTGCATCACACTTTTTAAGTAAACCCAACTTGGAACAATTTTACTTAAAATAAACAAGATAATCTTTGTTATATGAACTTAAATATTTGAGTTCACTCAACATTCTTTACTTAAAACATGCAACATCATCTACTAAGTAATTTCAAGTTGTGTTAAACTTAACATTTAAGCTCATTTATATTAAAAATATAATTGAGTTAAACCAACATTCTGTACTTAAAAAATATGTAGCACCATAGAATCTACTAAGTAATTGACAGTTGTGTTTACTTAACATTTACCAGTTCCTCCTTGTTCCCATGAGTATCCTTAAAAAAAAAAACACACACATAGCAAATGTGTATTTATTTACAACACCACTTGGTATTTTTCAAATTGTTTCTCAGTGCAAAAAATGCATTGCTATGAAATGACACAAAATGAGACAATATTTTGAAATTGACATTTATATTTTAAAATACAATAAGTGTCTTACAGCCATTCATTTTATTTATATCTATTTTGGTTTAATTTAATTAACTGCTATTATATAAGTTGTTTATTTAGGTTTGGAGCGTAACTTGGTCGTTGATCTATTTCAGATGCTCACCTGATAATGCTTGATGAGATTCTCAGGATTTTCCAAGAGGTAGACAATTAAGCATCAAATTACAACTTCTCTACATTGTTCCACAGGGCTGGTCTGAAAAGTAAAACAAAATGCGGCTTGTTATGGTGCATACACACAAAATCACAACTATACAGTGACTCCATATAGTTTGGGAATGAAAGCATTATTTGACCAACTCATCTTTAATGATGGTGAAACTGCTGATGGCAAATGAAGTTGGAAGCAAAATTAATTTGGAAAGAGAACAGAAAAATCTGCTCAGGTTCTGCTGCTATACACCACAACAATGATTTGTTGCTAAAGCGACAAGAGTTTTTAAAGCTAATTGGAGAATGGCCAATTCAGTCACCTGATCAGAACCTAATTTAGTATTTAAAAAAAAAAAAAAAAAAGTATTTTAAATTTTGTTAAACTAAAAAAAACTATATTTTGGGCTGACTGTCATACATTAGTTCATGATTGCATTAAGTGATTTATCCGGATGTTGTGAAGAGTGACAAGTGTCTTCTGAAGCTCATGTAAGTGATGTGGAAGCACTTAGGACTGTCACCTCTTCCTTTAGTTTCACAACACACATCACACTTCACAATGTGTTGACATTTACATTAAGCATGAACCCATGAATGGATGGATGACAGTTGGCCGAAAGCAATGATTATAGTTTGAAATAAAACTTCTTTTTTTTTTCACAAACACATTTTACTTTTAGCTCAGAAGAGATTCATACAGGGACGTATGGATTACAGTCACATTCACATTGCATTGATTTTTAAAGTGAAGAAAATTAAGATTATATATGTATCAGGGACGGCACATGGATGAGTAAACAAGAATTTGCATTTTTAGGTGGAGCATCATATTAAAGGTTTAGTTCACCCAAATATGAAAATTCTGTCATTAATTACTCACCATCGTGTCGTTCCACACCTGTAAGCAATTATTAGTAAAGTGTGAAATTAACAAAAAAAATTATATATGAATTGTTACCTCCAATTATTCCGTTCTAAGTTCTTGCACCATCACTTGTTGCACAGCTGGATGTATGGAAAGATGGATGGAGAGAAAAACAACAGTATTAAACAGCATAAAATAACTGATAATGCTAGCGTTTCAATTGTTTTATACACTTTTGGAAGTCAAATCTGGCACTTTCAATATTGCCCCACATAATTAAAATGAAATATAACAGAAACAACACAACATTTTAAAATCAAACACTTTAAAACTGGAGATCCACCGCTCTGCACATTTTGTATGTCTACCTTATCAGTTTATGGCGCTCTCTCCGGATCAGCGGCAGAGGGAACGCCGGTTTAAATTTACTGTTGTGATCATAATTTCGAAGGTTTACTAGACAGAGGAATCGTTGTCATATAGGAATAATTTTGCGTGTGTGTCTGAATTGAGATCGCCATTACTTAATAGATAGATAATACATACATATAGACATGCAGCCGATGTATTTTAGAATATAATATAAACCAAACCTCAAAAGTAACCCGCGCCCAGGCCCGGGCCGCCCCTTATAGAGAATATGAGAATATTGTGACCGAACTTTTTTTCTCTCAGTAGCGGGAACAAACTCTACGTTTTCATAAGTATTCATAACACGTTTCTAATTATTGAAGCATTATTCTTAGCGATTCAGAAATTCAGTTTAAAAGTTCCTTTTTTGACCACAAACGCAATAAACGAGTAAGTTAAAAAGACAAAAGTAAAGCTTACCTCTTTTCAGCGTCTACATCATGTTGCGTTTCAGAACATATCTTCTCCCACTAACACACAAAAAAAAGTGTTCATTGATGGTAAAAGGCCAAAATCTAATATTATAGACGGTTTCATCGAACGCACGCGCGTTGTCATGGTCACGCGTCTGGCCCTAAGTTAACTTCCGGTCTGTGTTTGTTTATTGGTCAGACTCACTGTATATAATAATTATATTATAATATATTATTATTATTATATTATAATTATATAATATTATATAGTCATTATATATGGATCAGTGGTCTCACTAGTAATATGGCGCCGACTACAAACGCAGTTAAAGTTAAGGTGATGAGTAGACCGAAGTTGGGCTCAGCTTGTTGTGCTGTGGGATGCAAACTGACCTCTGGAAAAAACGCCTTGTCAATAATAAAAATTAAAATTATGTCTTTTTAGCAACGTAAATAGCATCGGCCAGGATTTTGGTAAGCAATTATTAAAAAATGATACAGTAAAGTGACATGATAATAACCACAGTGGTACCTGGGGAGGTGAAGAACAAGAATCACCAGACGAGACGGCAAGCATGGATAACCGCTGTGCGAAGAGAGGCTTGGCTGACTGCAGTGAATTCAAGGATCTGTAACACTCACTTCGTTACAGGTAACAAACTCACGATAAGTGACAGATATTAGCTAGCTGACCAGTAACAAGCCTGCAATAGTTATGAATTAGCTACATTTATTGGTACACACATAGATTAACGTTACCTCAATGTAGATTTTTTTGTTGATTCGCTTTAGCTACGATTTGAACTATAACACAGTATTTAACAGTCGCCTTTGGCTTGCTCCCTGGGGACATAACAAATACAATAACGCATAGCTTTTCTAATGAAGCTTTAAATGAATTACTAAATAAGTACTTTTACTACATTTTCACTGACGAATTTACTACATTATCACTGATACATTTTATCTGTAAAGCTTCTTTGTAACAATGCATTGTGAAAAGTGCTACAAATAAATTTGACTTTGATCTAATTTCATTGTAATAGTAGGCTACTAATATGTTTTAATAATTTTTAAGCAATATCATAGAATTAATTTTTTACACAAAAATGTGCATGTAACCAGAAAATTTATGGATTATGCAAAGGATGTATGATGCGCAGCAAGGTTCAATACTGTCAACACTAACTGTTCCGGTCACTTGTTTTATTTTAGGTGCACCATCAGTGGACCCATGCCATCCTGATTATGTTCCATCAATATTCGCACGCAAAAACACCACTGATGGTTCACAGAAGTTGGAGCGATACCAGAGGAGTCAGAGGAGATCATCTGTGGTTGCGCCCATGGATTCACCTTCCTTAGAGGTCACACAGGCTGACCCTGAAGAAGGATGCACTGCTGTGGGTACAGATCTGTCAATGGCAGACATTGACCAGCTACAGAATGAAAACATTGAATTAAAAAGAAAAATGGCTTCACTGGAGAAGAAACTGGAATCTCAAGAAAAACAACTACAAGATCATATGTTTGTCAGTCTGTCCGATTTTATTTTAAATGATGACAAGCACACTCATTTTTACACTGGTCTACCATCTATTTCTGTGTTTTTCACCCTCCTCACTTACCTGACATCAATATGGAATGCATCATCAACCATACTTACCCTTCCCGAGCAGTTTCTTGTGGTCCTGATGAAGCTTCGTCTAGGCTTAACTCATCAAGACCTAGCTTTTCGCTTCAAAGTGAGTTGTGGAACTGTCTCAAACATCTTTCATGAATGGCTCGATGTGATGGCTAAAGAATTACAATGCCTTGTCCGGTGGCCATCCAGAAAGAAATCAGAAGAAATCTCCCCACCCCACAAATGTGTCCGTCTTCATGTACCAGCATCTACAAAGGGAAGAAAACAATTGACAGGATTAGAGGTGACACACTCTAGAAAAATGTCACGAGTGAGAATCCATGTGGAAAGGGCCATAGGAAAACTGAAGTCATTCAGAGTTCTGCGGAACATCCTGCCAGTCAGTATGGTCAAACAGAGAAATGATAACAGTCTTTGCACAATAGATAAACTATTAATTGTTTGTGCAGCACTTTCAAATTTGGGGAAACCATTTGTACCAAAATAAAGCAGGACTGAACCACAACTTAATTTGATACAAGATAACTTTTTTTTGTATTACATATTTTAAAATGTCAAAACCATGCATTATAATATTTGTTGCACTTGTATCAAAATGTTTCACATGGATTGTAAATAAAAAAAAATTCTGGGTTGATTGGCCTTCTTGAACAAGGAGACCATGTAATGGCTGATAGAGGCTTCAATTTTCCTGAATATTTTGCCAACAAATGTATCCGTCTTCATGTACCAGCATCTACAAAGGGAATAAAACAATTGACAGGATTAGAGGTGACACACTCTAGAAAAATGTCACGAGTGAGAATCCATGTGGAAAGGGCCATAGGAAAACTGAAGTCATTCAGAGTTCTGCGGAACACCCTGCCAGTCAGTATGTTCGGTCAAACGGAGAAATGATAACAGTCTTTGCACAATAGATAAAATATTAATTGTTTGTGCAGCACTTTCAAATTTGGGGAAACCACTTGTACCAAAATAAAGCAGGACTGA